CCATAATTGAGGCCATATTAATATTATTTATATAATTTATATTCTATCTATAGAGGACAGCAGATCCCTGAGCTCTGCGCAGTAAACAAATGAGAAACCCGCACACACAGTCCCTCGCCCGTCCATACTCAGATCTTAATTTACAGAGAGGTGGAGCATGGGGGTGTGTGACAGATACCAACCCTGCCAACAAACAGTATGGTGACCCTGAAGACGCGACCTCACACCCTGCGTGCCTCAGTCTATACCGCACAGCGGTTTTGAGGAGCGCCACATAGAAGTGTCCTTTAATAACTGTCACGGTGCCGTCCAGCCTTGGTGGTGGCGGAAGAACAATCGGCGGGGCTTTGGCATTCAATTTGCCATATGACTTTAAAGCTGCTCCTTCTGCTGCTTCTCCTTCTTCTACTCCTCCTCTTCCTCCTCCTTCTCTTTTTCCTCCTCCACCTCCAGCTCCTAACTGTCCTTTCTTCTTTTTAAATATTTGAGGCTGGAGAGATGCCTCGGGCCGTTGAGAGCCCTGGCTACTCTTCCGGAAGCCGTCGGTTCAGTTCCCAGGGGCTCACAACATTCTGTAACCCCAGCTCCAGAGGATCAAATGTCTTCTTTGGTTCCGTCATTGCCAGGCATGCATGCTTACATACACACAGGCAAAACACGCACATAAAAGAATAAATAAACATTTAAAAAAGCAAAAGAAAGAAAAGGCATTCGATAGTCTCTGGTGTGAATGCCAGCTTTGCTGTGTGGCACTGGGGATGTGACTACACCTTTCTGTTCCTCGGTGTCCTCATCTCCCAAATAGTTGAGGAAGGGGGTCTGTGAAGGTAAGCGGTTTTTAGTCTAGGCTGTGAAATTTGAAACCATAGCCTCCCCTCCCCAGAAGGCCCTGGAGTAAGGAGATAGAAAGGGCATGGGCATGTAATAAACAGGCTGGATTATCCTCAAAGGATTGAGAGGTTGGTCCCTTCCATCCCTGCCTCCATGTTTGGATCCTGATGCTGCATGCCCCGCTGGTAGTCTCTGGAGGTCCCATAAGGGCCAAACAATGAGACTAGTTAATCAAAGGGGCAGCGGATCCCCTGGACTCTGGGCTTTCTGAACTGCTCGGCCTGTGGCGGCGGATGCTGGCATTTCCAACCCTCCCTGGACACTCAGAGCAATCAGAGTACATCCTGTGGAGACAGGGGACAGGCCTGGGTGGCCAGGGTCGGAGCTGGGGGAGGCACAGGCCCACATGGCCCTAGGGTTGATGTAGGTTGGAGAGAGGAAGGGGAAATGAAGACCTGGGTGTGGAGATGCCAGCCTGGGGTCACATAGGAGCAGAGGGAGTGGCCACATACTCTGGGTGCTTAGTGGGCCAGGGACAGTTCTGGTTCAGAGGAATCTGTGTGAATGGCGCCCCCTGCAGGAAATGCCATGCGTTCCCTCATCACTCTATGTGTGTGTGTGTGTGTGTGTGTGTGTGTGTGTGTGTGTGTGTACGTCTGTGCATACAAACTGCTCCTCCACATTTGTTGCAAATTTCCATGTCCCTCAACCCCATACTTAGATCACAAACTTGAGTCATGGCCTGCTTGGCCTACAGAGATAGTTCAAGGCTAGCCTGGACCACTTTGTAAGATCCTGTCTTGAAATAAAGAAAAAAGGGCCTGGGTGTAGCTCAGTAGCAGACTGATGGCCCATTGTGAGTGAGAACCCAGGGTGTAGTCGTATGTGTGTGTGTGTGTGGGGGGGGGGGTGATTAAAGAAAACAGTTGGATAGAAGGTTGAACAGAAAGAAGTAAGGCGCACTCAGGGCCTGACCTTGAGCCCCCAGGCTATGACCTCAGCTTCGCTGGTCCCCTTCCTAGGCCATCTCTTTAAGCTGGGGAACATTTGATCCAGCTTCTGGCAGAGGCTGCTGGGAGCGCGAGAAAAGCCAGCTCAGCGGAACAGGATACTTCCACTGGGGCCCCAGATGCCGCCGGAGGACTGGCCCTCTCAGCAGACTCTTGGAGGAAGAGTACCTAGCCTGACCTCTGGCCCAGTCACATCCCAGAAGCGGGAAGCCATGGGGACATTGTCTGCAACCTGCTTATAGGGGGACTTACTTCCTGTGGCCACCTGGCCCTCACTGGGCAGCTCCCTTTCTCCAAGAATCGACTCCCCCAAGGTGAATGTGATTCTTCTGAGAACCTGAGCATTTGCATTTGCCCTGATCCAACTATCGATTGGGTGAGTCAGGCCTCATCCAAAGCCAGTTAGTGCTGGTCAGTGTGGTCAGCTTGGCTCACGAGCACACAGGTGACTGCTGTGTGTTGGACCACGCCCTGGGTGCTGTGAGCGGCCCCCACAGGAGCAGGAAACATGGAAGTATAGAGCACAAGACACTGATGCCTGTTCAAGGCCTGGGACATGGGTGACATCCAAGACCGCGTAGCAGCTGGGGTTCCAGGAGGAGCTGATCTGCAGATACCCGGCAGTCCCAGAGGCTGAAATGGCTTCCCTGGAAAGACTGTTGGAGGTTTCTTGCCCGAGTGGAGCCTGGCACTGTGGAGAGGGCAGGTTCTCTTTCCTGTGTGTGTTGCCAGCTGCCAGCGTCAAAGACTCACCATCAAACAGACCCAGTTCCCAGGAGCCTAGAGAGACGTTTGCATTGAGAGAGAAACACAGCAGGCTGCTTTCCTGGGGCGCTAAAACTGGTAAGCTGCAGCTGGCCAGGCAGAGGGCAAGAAGTAATCTTGCATTAAGAACACAGAGTAAACCCGGCGGTGGTGGCGCACGCCTTTAATTCCAGCACTCAGGAGGCAGAGGTGGGCGGATCTCTGAGTTTGAGCCTAGCCAGCCTGGTCTACAGAGCTAGTTTCAGGACAGCAAGGACTGTTCACAGAGAAACCCTGTCAAAAAACAGCCGAAAAGAAAAAAGGAAAGAAAAAAAGAAAAAAGGAAAGAAAAAAAGAGCAGAGCCACCAGCCCAGAGCCTTTCTCTTTACTGCTAGGGTCCATCCTTAAATGTGTGTTTGTATCCATTTCTGCATCAGGATTGGAACCCATGTCCTCTCTCAGGCAGGAGGCAGGGCCCAGGGCTGTGCCTCTTCCCTCAGACCCAGGCTCCCTGTGGACAGGCTGTGTTCCCTCAGATGAGGCTCCCAGTGGACAGGCTGTGTTCCCTCAGACTCAGGCTCCCTGTGGACAGGCTGTGTTCCCTCAGACTCAGGCTCCCTGTGGACAGGCTGTGTTCCCTCAGACTCAGGCTCCCTGTGGACAGGCTGTGTTCCCTCAGATGAGGCTCCCAGGTCTCCACTTGCTGGTTTTCTTCTAAAGGATGGGCTGTTTGCTATGATACAGGTATGGAACTTGACTAAATTGCTCATTTCTTCTACCTGTTGTCGTCTTCCCTGACCCGTTCAGTGGGGACACAGAGCCTGGTCTCCCACTGTTCAGAGCACCTTCAATTTTTTAAAGTCGGTGTTAAAGCAAAATTATTTCTGATCTGCTGAGCCTTTGGTTCAAAAGAGGTTAAATGAAACCTTCCCTGTTCCAACAAGAGTGTGAGCAGAGGGAGGCTGGAACAGTCCGGGTGACTCTCCAACGGGAAATGGTGTGTTTTAGAAGCCAGGCTTCAGTCACAGCTCACAGGCCTCGGAGTCTAATGCTCTGAGGAATTTCAAAAGGTGGCCCAGTCACATTGATATAGAGCAGAAAATTCTGGAACCCAGAGAGAGGACGCTCACACAGTGAGGCAGGGTGCAGTCATGGCACAGTAGTAACTCGTGGCCTCCTTGTTCACATCTGTAAAATGGGTAGACCACTTGTCTTCCCTCCAAGAAGAAGGTGAGGATAAAATAGTATGGTCAATGTGGGAGTCACTGGCAAGTTCAAATCTTAGGGTTTCTAATGCCGAGATAAAACACCATGACCAAAAACAACTCCGGGAAGAAAGGTTTATTTCATCTTCCACTTCCACGTCATAGTTGTCATTGAAGGAAGCTGGGCAGGAACTCAAGGCAGGAACCTGGAGGCAGGAACTGAAGCAGAGGCCCTGGAGGAGCACTGCTTACTGGCTTGTACTCCAGAGGGGTAAGATTCTGTCATGGTAGAGAGGTGTCGCATCAGGCAGCAGGTAGCATGTGGCTGGCCCCAGGAGCTGGCCGAAGGCAGCAGGAAGCAGGTGTGGTCATCTCAAAAGCCATCTCCACTGACACTGCCCACCCTCCAGCGAGGCCACACCTCCTGAACCTTCCCAAACAGTGCCACCAACTGGGAGCCAATTTTTTAAACACATAATCCCCTAGAAGATATTCTCCTTCAAACTGCTACGACCCTCTTTGACCTCAGCAATCCCACTACCTTGGCTACTCAGTTGCTTCCATAGCAACGCACCACCACGGGGCCTTTGCCCTCGCTACCTCACCCGCCAGGTGTTCGCGTGATTCAATCCCTCTACTCTTTAGTGTCATGGCTCCAGGGTTAGACAGAGTCTAGATTCTTTTCGTATCGTTCAACCCTTGTGCTTCCTAAACCTCTCCCTAGCTTTAACAATAACCCTTAGTATCTAAACACTAGATATTTTCTTTACGTGCTTGGCTTATTGTGTGTCTCTTCACACCTCCATAAAGAAGGTGTTTTATCTTTTTATTTTTTTTAAATCACAAGCTGGGTGGTGGTGGTGCACTCCTTTAACCCCAACACTACAAAGGCAGGAGAATATCTGAGAGTTTGAGGCCCACCCCACTTGATCTACAGAGCGAGTTCCAGGTCAGCCAGGGCTACACAGAGAAAACCTAAACTGTCTTGAAAACCTAAACTAAATAAATAAATAATAACAATAATAAATCTTTTACATGAGTGCTAAGGTTATGGGTGTGTGTGTGTGCACGCATGCGTGTGTGCGTGCATGCGTGTGCCGCGGCATGCCTGTAGGCCGAAGGCAGCTTTTGGGAGTCAGATCTCTCCTTCTACCATCTGAGTCCTTGGGATGGCACTTGGGCCTTCAGGCTTGGTACAAACACCTTTACCTGATAAACCTCACTGGCCTCAGAAGGGATTCTGTCTCTGTATTGAGTCCACAGCGCCCAGGGTGACCAGTGAATGGTGCACACAAAGATGAAGTCTGCCTCCTATCAGCAAGGCCTGCCTGAAGGTAGAGGAGAGAGGGAGTGGCAGGGGCTACAGCCTTGGCGACAAAATTTGGGAGGCTCCCCCTTGCCAAGAGTGTCAAGGAAAGACTGCATTATCCCTAGTCTTGAGCTGAACAATTTATAACAGAAGTTAACTGTTTACTAATTAGCAGCTGGGACCATTAATTGGCTATTTGTTAGAGCTCGAATTAATAAACCGGTCTTTCAGCGGGGTCATAACTCTCATCGTTCGTCACCCCCTCCCAGCCAGCCTCCTCCCCTTGACCAGAACTCAGCCTGCTGTGCGATTCGATCAATACCTGCCACCATATGATTTTCAAACGCAATCTGCCTCTCAAGGCGGCGAGGACACCATCGGGGCCAGGCCAGATCCCTCTCCACTCTCTCTTTCTTCCCTTCCAGGCTCTGACCCGTGGGAGGAGAGCAAGCGGCTGGGAGAGATGGAGAGTTGTCTAGTAACCGTGACGTCATTAGAGCCTGCAGCTGGCTGCCCTGGCTGAGCCCTGACCAGGACCCTGCTTCCCTGGCCCGTCTTGGGCACTCAACCAGCCGTTAGCTAGTTCTGAGCACTTGCTAGGGCCCAAGTGCTGTGCTTTCTCTAAGACAAAGGAAGGTGGGCTTTCTTCAGTAAGGAGTGATGGTGGGTCCCAAGTAGCCTGCCACGGTCTGATCCCAGGGTTCCGTGGTTCCACTCAAGGGTTCCCAAAGGCTTTGGGGTCTAGCTGTCATGCCCCCATACTCAGCAGCCCCACGTGGGGTTCAGAGTGCTGTTCTGGAGATGATTCTTATAACAATGTGGCTACTCACCTCTGGGCTCGCATGCCTGCAGCACCGGTAGCTCTGGAGGAAAAAGCAAGGCCATTTCGCCTGGTTTCTTAAGTCAGGAGCACCTGACCGTTCAGCAGCTCTGTGATGCATGCCTGACGTATCTGATGCAAAGCCTCTGGCCCTGCAGTGGGCACCCAGTCTCTCAACCCATCCCTTAGGCAGGGATCCCACCTACCTGATATCTGGGGGAAAGTGAGGACCAGAGAGAACAGGGCTGAAGCATAAGACTATCATTTTGCCTTCTCTGAGGTTGTCTGCCGCTGTCAGTTCTGGGGCTCTGTCCCAGGCAGCAGGCCTGGAACACTGGGGGAGGAAACGATGGAGTTGACAGGCACATATGAACAAGCTGTCGAGGTGTTTACATTGCATGCAGCGAGTATTCACAAGTGGATTAGCACAGCAAATGTTCAATCCCAGCCTGCCAGGCTCTGGACTTCTGCTCCCCTCCTCCCCAGCCCTCCTCCCTCACAAGGCCTCTTTCTTCTGTAGGCCAGGGTGTGTTCAGACTATATCCCTGTCTTCGCTCTGCTATGCCAAAGAGGAGAGATTTGATGCTGTTTGGGGTTGAGGTGTCTAACTGGAAAAGAAGACAACAGCTTCCCAGAATAGGCAAAGTCAGGGAGAGCCTGAGTCATCAGGATGACTCCCTGGGAGCTTCCTGGGGGATTCTGGAAGCTTTCCAATAATGGTAACACCACAGTAAACACAGCTACTCACCATCACCCCCTCAGTTGGTACCACTTTCCTTTCAGGCTGGGTGGGAGAGGTAGGTGGGCAGACATTGGATATCTATGGAGCAGATCATGCATTTTTCCTTTGGGTTAACGGGAGGCTATGAGGAGGGAGGACGGTGCGCTGTAGGCTGCCTTGAGCTGCGGGATTTGGATCGTGATGGGCATCATTCATTCATTCAGTTAATAAATCTTCAGTTGCTGAGTTGGGCTTGGACACCCTTAACTGAGCCTTGAACCCTCACAGCAGAAGAAGGGAAGAAATGAGGAGGGCAGAAACAAGGGTTGATAGACTGGATGAATCAAAAGGAAGTTGAGAAAGGACAGGCTGATGGCGCCCCTCCCCACCTACCACCTCGCGCTCCTCGTTTGCAGGTCAGGTCTGCTCAGGAGGGCCGGAGGAGAAAGATCCTGGTGGGAAATGGATTTGAAGAAGGAGGGGTTTATTACTAATATTTTTAATTTATGCGTGAATTTACATGCAAGAGAATCAACTCTTTGGGTGAACAGGTCTTTGAGTTTGGACAGATGCCTGGAGTCATGGATCCACCATCGCAGATCCTGAACAGGATCCAGTCTCCGAGCTTGTTAGCTGCGGCCGCTGTCCGCGCTCCCACGGGCCGCTCTAGGACAATCCCTGCGCTCACGCCGAGATAAATAACGGCGACAGGTGGAGAAGGTGAGATTAGCAGGACCCGGGTAGGGGGATGCGATTGGAGGCGCCAGAGCGGTCGCGCGCCTCGCTCCACAGCCCACGCCCCTCCCCAAGGGCGTCTGGAAGGAACTACGTCTTTGGGGAAGGCCGGGTTGGGGAGACCGCGAGTGCTGTACTCAGGCCCCGGCTTGGCAGCGGAAAGGGCGTGTACCCCTAGGGCACTGGGTCACGCCTGAGGTCCCATGGGGAGGCAGGGTGCCAGAGAAGCAGGCTGAAGGGAACACTTGGTGTCCCCGTGGAGCGGCACTGGGGTCTCGCTGGCAAACCTGTTGGCAACCTGTGGGCCGGGGCTAGGACACGAGCAGCAAGCGCGTCCTCCTCCTCAGCTGCTCTGGCAGTGGCTTGGCGCCGACCCGGGGAGAGGCCGAGGCGGCTTGGAAAGGGGCCGGGGCTCTGCCAGGGGCGGGTGGTGATTGGAGGTGGCGGGATTCCCAAACCGAGCCAACATCCCTGCAGAGCAACAGCAGGCAACCGGCTCTCGCGCCAGCACTGGTCTAGGAGAAGCAGACATCTCGGCCTTTCTCTCCGATTCTAGGCTCCAGTCTCGCCTTCTCCAAAGTACAAAACGTTCCTAACTGTCCAGTGCCCTGAAGGCTTGGGTCCCCGCAACGAGCCGCCAGTACCTGGCCCACGAGCGTGCGGCGACCGTTTGCACCCAGCCCAGGCTTGCCAGCTTGGGCTGTGCAAGGGCGGGCGAAGAGCGTGTGCGAGTGCGCGGCTGCAGAGCCCGCGCCGAACCCACGTTCCCGCTACTGTCCTCGGGATAGATGGATCCATTGCTGCTTTCTGACATTTTTCTGCCAGGGGGCTGTTGGTGGGGGAGGCGGAGATAGCGAGAGAGAGAGAGAGAGGGATGGGGGAGGGAGAGAAAGAGAAGAGGAGAGAGAGGGAGAGAGAGAGAGAGAGAGAGAGAGAGAGAGAGAGAGAGAGAGAGAGAGAGAGAGAGAGAGAGAGAGAGAGAGACTGCTTCCCCCAGCCCTGTTTTGTTTTCTCTAATTGGTCCTGGGGGAAGCAAGGAAATTGGACAGAGGCTGGGCCGGGCGAGCTGGGCTGCCTTTAATTGGCTCCTTTTTTTAACTGGAGGGGAATCAAACAGGAGAGCGAGCGACAAAGGGTGGGAGAGCGAGAGACCGATCGCGGAGATGGGAGGAGGGAGAGAGGGTGGAGGGAGAGAGGGAGGCGGGGTGGTGGTGGTGGGGAGGTGGAGGAAGCGCGGAATGAAAAGCTCGGAGGGACCAGAAAGCAGCACAGCGAAGCCCAAGTTGCCGAGCGAGCGGAGCGCTCCCGCGGCCCCGGAGCCCGAGTGGCCGCCGTGCCCGGGAGCCCGGCCCGGCCCCGCCCGCTGGGGCCCCCTCGGGCCCAGGCCTCCAGGAGGGGGGCGGGGACGCCCAACTTGGGGCGCGGCGCAGCCCCGCTCTCCCGAGATCGCGGAGCCCGGGAGCGCCACGGCTGCGGCCAGACGGCGGGAGCGGACCGCGGAGACAGGAGGCAGCTGGCGGCTCCCGAGCTGCTGCCCGGGCCTCTGCAAGAGCGCAAATTATTTTCAAAGGACTCAAACTTTCCTCCTTCCCCTGCTTGCTGCGGTCCCTCTTGCTTTGGAATCGTTCTCCGGAATCCCGCGGGGGCTCTGGGACGCGCTCGCCTCCCCCGGATTCCTCGGCGGCGGCTCCGCCAACTTCGTGGACCCGGGGACCCGGAGCGCTCGCTCGGCGGCCGAATTCAGTCCTCGCTGCTCCCGCGCTCGACAGGACCGGGACCCGGGGAGACCTCGTCTCCGAGAAGGGCGCCTAGCCCTGATCCCTTGGGTCGGGCTGCCAAGCCCTCCGCACCCACTGCAGAACTGGAGCCAGCGGATTAACCTCCCGGCCTGGCTCCACGGTGGGGCGTCCCCTGGGCGGGGAACGACAAGTTTGTCAGGCATCGGTGGCCTGTTGGATTGGAGCTCGGCCACCGCAGCAGAGAGGTCCCCTGCGCTCAGCACCTTCGGCAGACAGCCCTGGGGACTCAAGGCTACTAGGTGGCCGAGCTTTCTGGGCCAGGGAGCTGGCTGCTGCGCCTGGTGCACAGAGGCACCAGGGTCTGGGCCAGCGCCCCCAGCGACCCAACCCGGGCAGCCGCCCTGTGGGAAAAAGACAGAGCCAGTCGCCGCCTGCTCGGACTCCTTCTCTCGGTCGTCTCGCTCTCTGTCGCGTCTCAGGGAAAAGGAGGGAAGGCAGAGGGCATCGCGGTGCCCCGGCGGATGCGCCCCCCGCTGCCTCTCAGGCTGCGCCGCCTCGCGGGGATGAAGCACTGGCCGTGAAGATGGAGGTGACCTGCCTTCTACTTCTGGCGCTGATCCCCTTCCACTGTCGGGGACAAGGAGTCTACGGTAAGAGCCCGCGTCCAGCTCCACCCTGGCGGAGCCGCGCGGAAACTTTGCAAGATCTTGCTCAAAGTGCGCGCTGGCGGGCCTTGGTGGAGCCCTGGGCTTGCACTCTGGAGTGGATGACCGCTTCCCCGCCCTCGCCCGGGCGCCAGGAGACCTAGTGGTCTGCTCCCGAGCCCAGGAGCGGGTCCTAGGGTATGGCATGAAACTGGGGTTGCCGGGATGAGGTCTCGACTTTCCGAAATCTTGCTAGGGGTTGGAGTGATCTGGAAGTATTGGGAGAATCCAGTGGGATCAGGAGACCCGGGAAGAGCCCAAGCCCTGGACTGGGGCAGCGATTTCCACCGAATCTTTTACCTCCCCTGGCTCAGCCTCCCGAGTGGAAGCATGCGATGCAAGTGATCTGGAGTTGTGTGCGGCTGGCGGATGAGATGCTCGCCAGAACCGCGGCCGGGCCGCTGGCTCGCATTCTCGGCAGTAGCCACGGCTGAGCTGCCTCTTCTAGCTTTGTAATGGTCTAAGCGGATGATGGGCATCGCCTAACTCTGGCGCCTAGGGTTCACGGCATCCCTTTTCAGAGACCTCTCCCGAGTCTGCTCTTCCTGTCCCTGGTTCCCAACCTCAGAACCTCAGCCCCAGCTTCCTTCTGCCGGCTTGCACACACAGACACATTCAGCCACCGTCCTCAGGAAACGCAAACACCGCTTGCACCCATTCAGCTACGCGTCGAAACTCTGCCTCCCGCCACGCAGCTCCACTCCTGCATCCCCAAGCCACGCTCCGTTGCGCCAAGGAGTATTCTGGCCCCATTTTCTCCACTTCCTGCCGCGGGGTTTTCTCAGCAAAGGCTCCTTGGTTCAGTACTACTCGGGGTCGTCCTGCCGACGTGCACAGCACAGAGAGTTGGTCCCCAGAGCCTATGGTTCTGACTTTGCCTTCTCCTGACCGCAGGGTGGGCTTTGTAGTTACTTTTTAATGATGTGTGACCAGGGTGGGCAGTATTCTCCCTCTTTCTCTGGGGTCGAGAATCCAGTTATTCTCTTTGAGAGTGGAGGGAGTTGGACTTGAACAGTTTGGGTTGCAGAGCCCATGTCCACAATTACTAGCTTTAGTCCCGTGTCTCTGCCTGTGCCTGGCAAGGGAAAGGAGCATCCTGGGAAGCGGGTATCTGGAAAGTATACACCCCTGAACTCCAATAGCTAGCTGGCTTGGGCTTAATTCCCTGGTGAGGCCAGCCCAGGCTTCCAGCCAAACTCCTTTTCTTAATTAGTTTGTGTGTCTCTTACTGTCTGGCCCCTGGCATAGGCCAGACAAAGTAGGCAGGAGGAGGGATGCTGCGAGGCTGTATGTATGGGGCGTAGGGTGTGAAATAGGTTCTCCCTCTAGGACAGGAAGATACCAGAGGCCTTAGAGTTCTTCTTTCTCCAGGATCACCAAAGATACCAGTGGCTTAGCCACAGCTACCTTTAAGGGACTACCCCCACAGAGGCTGTTGCAACTTGCTCATACACCCTCCTGAGATCTCTGTCTACTACCAGCTCTTGGATTGCTCTGATGACCCCATCTTGTGGCTGTGTGGTTTGGGTTTCTCCTGTCTTCCCTCACCGGGGCGGCCCAATGTGCATGTAAGGAAACCCCTCTGGGACTACGCAGGAACCCGGACAATGAGGACAGAGGTTAGGGGACAAGAGCCATGGTCTTTGTAGACCGTCTGTGCCTCCCCTTCTCTGTCCCCTTCTCCTTTCTTTACTTTCTCCGAGCTCTCACATGCCCAGGTCCCAGCTGCTCTTGTTACAAATCAAAGCAGGGTAGGTCCACCGGGTCCACCCTTGGCCCTTCGCAGGCATTCTTTTACACCTGCTCTGGGAGAGCCTGGCTCCAGGGAAGGCCGGGCTGCAGGGAGATCGCTGTGTGGAAAATCTTCTTGGTGGTGGATAGGAAGCGAGGGAAAGAGGAGTTGGGGGACACTGTCCCTTGTGATGTTACAAGCACAGGTGACACCTCAACAGGGTTGGGACTGGACTAAGAAGTAGGGTGGAGAGCTAGGGTTTGTTCTGCCCCACCCATTCCTCTGCACCCCAAAGCAGATAAGGCAGATGAGTGGGAGTGTGGTGGTATACAGGGATGGAGACGTCCCCCCTGGCCATCCACCGCAGCATCCAGCCCTAGCATGCTACCTGGCGTCCTGTAGGAACTCTGATGAGGCTTGTCGAGTGGATGAAGAACTGCAGGTTGAAATACTTCATGATATTCTCAGGTGTCTCCAGAGCTTGTCACTCACCAAGACAGAGGGCTTTAGTTGAAGGTTTCTGCTCAGAGAGCCACGAGACCCTAGGCTTGCAATCCTATAGAGAAGAGACTGAAGTGCTGGGTTTCGCTAGCATCCAGGAGGGAGGCTGTATGTCAGTATGTGCTGGGGATAGACTTAAGCTGCCGGCTGTCATTCTGCCCCAGGCTACTGATGGAGGGGTAGTCTCATAAGGAGGGTGAAGGCAGGGCAGGAAGGAGGGACAGGATGGCGGCCTTATGGGTGGGTGAGGGTCAGTCCATCCTAGTAGGAGACAGCTGCTCAGAGCCCTAAGCCCTGCATCCTGCTGGGTCCACCCTCCAGCTCTAAAGCCTGCCATCAGCAGCAGGACTGGGAAGGCCCTCTCAGTCTGACCAGGTGGCTTTGCTCTTCTTTGGGGCCACAGATGCTACAGCGGCCAGCCGTGTGTGGGACCAGATGGTCCATTTGGAGCGGGGCCTCCTCCTTCTCCGATTCTCAATCTCTAGCCCAGTTTGTTGTTTACAGAGTAGATCCTGTAATCTATTTTCTGTCAGGCCAGTGTGTGTGTGTGTGTGTGTGTGTGTGTGTGTGTGTGTGTGTCTGAGGCTGGCCCCAGAGGTCCAGTTCTGTGACAAAGACTAGTTGGGTAAAGAAGGGGTGGCACATTCTATGAAGGCTGAGTTGAAGGCTTCTCATCTTCTGTCCTGGCTTCTTGTCTCCTGTCTTAAAGCAGGCAGACTTCCAGGCAGGAGTCAGTGAGGACGATTCAGCTCCTTACAAAACACACACACAACAAACCCCTGGATTATTTAATATGCAGGAGTGGGAAGTGACATTCTCCTTAAGACAGGTTGTTTGCCACGTACTGGGGGAAGTCAAAATATTTCACCAAAGGTGTCATCAGAAACTACTATCCTATGCTAATTTTTGTGGGAACATGAAGACAGATGTTGAATAATTTGACAAGAGCAACATCGCTCACAGAATTATCACCAAGTCAGCCCCCCTTTTCCTCGAGGGGAGTGTGGGGAAGGGATTTCGGGAAGGGTGGGGCTTCTGAGTGTTGATGTTGTGAGTGGGAATGCTTGGGACTTTTCCCTCTGAGGTCCACACCCCTGCACAGAAAGTGGCTGTCTGTGTAGGGCCTTCCCAGAAGAAGCAGAAGAAAGAAGCAGGCTGCATCCAGAGTCAGCAGCAGGCTCAGGCTTCCCTAAGTCCCCAAGAAGGTCCCCGCCTACTTTCCTTCCTTTTTCCTTTTTCCTTCTCTGTTATAGACATTGCCCGAGGGAATGATTGTCTTGCGTCTACAAATCCAGGCTATTTTAGCTGTGCTGCCTTTGACAACCCCCCAAGCGTGCCTGGGGGCTCCCCACAAAGTCATTCTATAGAGCTCTTCCTGGTTTGCCCCCTACCCAGCTTCAGGCAGATGTTCCTTCCAGGCCTGCAGGCTAGGCATTCGGGCAGTGTACGGGGGTGCAGCTCGGGGGTCCGGAAGCTAGATTGGAAGGGTTGTAAGCATCCTTGAGGGGCAGGCTGGGACTGTCTGAGGGGTCTACATACAATTGGCCAGGTCTGGCTCTAAGCTGCTGAGGCCGGGTGGAAAAGCCTCATTTAGAGCCCCGTATTAGCTTTGCTTCGCTGAAACATGGAGGGATGGGCGGGGAGCTCCGTGGGGAGGGAGAGGGAGCTAATCACAGTCGCCAAGGCCCGGCCAGTGAATGATGTAGAAGATCAATACCGGGGTGGGATTGGAAATCAGGCCGTGGTAGCGGGGCTTGCTTCTCCTGGTTGCCCGGGAGGCACGGAGGGACCTGGGAATAGTAAGGCCCAGGTAGGATATGGAGGATTCCTCCCTCTCAACCTGTTACCCACGGCAACCTTGACGACTCTTCTTGTGACTGGGTTCAGGAAGATTGGACTAGAAGGTACCCCACCTAGGAAAGTTTGGGAGACTAGAGATGGAATCGAGTTTCTCAGTCTAGCAAGGGTTCCACTTCACCTTCCCCCTGCTCAGACACCCCGATCTGAGTAGGTCCCTGATGCTTGTGTGTCAGAGAGGTCGGGCATGTAATTAATCCCTTTGGGTCCTGCGGTGTTAAACTGGTACTGCTCTTCCAGACATTGCCAGCAGGGGGCAGGCTTGGCCACCACATCGTGTCTTCCCAGTGCTTGCCTCCTCGCCCTATCTCAGAAAAGGAGGACTTGTTCTGACTCTCCTGCCTGAGGTGGAAGGGGGCTCTCTCCCCAACTCTCACATACCTACCTCAGAATCCAAGGGCACCCACCATGGATAAAGTCACACTTTCTGCCTTTCCAGGATAACTCAATTCTTCTCTAGGTCAGCTGAGACTTTGAGGGGGCTGTGTGTGGGGAGGGGTCTGACACCTCTGCACAATTGCCTCTTTGCAAACCTAGGTACAATCCCTAGCCAGCATTGCCTTTTCCACGGTCACAAAACTAAAGACCCACGTGGCATTTAATAGCTGATGCAGAAGACAGGCAAGAGCCATGCTTAGCTCAGAGGAATGAATCGATCTCTCTCTCTCTCTATTTCTTTACATGATTCTTCCATTTTCCTAAGACTAGATAACACATGCAAAATAACCAAAGTATACATGGAAGTAAAAGGAAGTGTGATCCAGGGCTGGAGAGATGGCTCAGTGGTTAAGAGCACTGGCTGCTCTTCCAGAGGACCCGGACTCAATTCCCACCCATATGGCAGCTCACACCTGTC